GAAACCTGCAGTCAGCTGAGACTGAAGAAGTCACTTGGATGAGTGATGAAACGTTTCTCCCACTGAAAACGCTATGTCCAGATGAACAGAATCAAACTTTGGGGAATTACTTCAAGTATTGCTGCTAAAGCTGGTTCTTTCCTCTTTTTCACATGACTGTGAAAATCAGTAGCTGGAAAAAATATGATTTTTACATTATTTAAGATGTTTTTAAATGACAGTTTGCCTTTTATGACCTGGAAACTTTATTTCACTCAATCATTTAGATAAAGGCTTTAATATATTCCCAAACAACAGATTGGAGGTTCTACTAAGACAGCTGCCTAGTTGTGAGACTTTGGTTTAATACAGCAGTGTTCTTCTAGATGAGAAGAGCTTCCATTAAAGTTTTCCTCTTTGTTTCCATTTTCCACCAAAATAAAAATAGCCACATCATTAGCCACATTCTGCTGCACAACCCGCCAGTAACAACTCCGTTCTAGGCTTCCCGTGGTGTATACAAATACATTTCTATGTGCCATATTTCAGTTCATTCACAAACACTGCCCTGCTGAAATGTAACAGTATGGCATCCATGTACACATTAGTGTGTTTAGTCCATTGAGAAAGGTGTGAGGAAAAGCACATTGTCCTGGCGTATGTGATAGCATGGCTGTTGCCTTCTCCTATGAAACTAGTGGCCCTCAGGCCTTTGATCTCACCCATGGCAGTTCAGTCTGGGCCTCAGCTGTGGGAAAAAAGCAGCAGGGCTTAACAGGACAGAGCCCAGTAGATAGCAGGTGGTGAAGCCATGACCTTCCCATCCCAGGCCAGCATTCCTGCCTGTCAGACCCCCCGGATCCACGCATGTAGTGTCTCCAGCCACACCATCTGGAGCTGTTTGTCCTGCTGCACTGCGTTCAAATGGAAGAGTGTCCAAAACACTTCAAGCACTCATCGCACATACTGCAGTGGCACAGCTCTTCTGATTAAGATAAACCTTTACAGTGCTACTCTATGTTATTCATCACTATGCTAATCCTCACACCTCTCAGCTGGAGAATAGGCACACAAACAGAGGTATGACAGGGCCACAGGACCACAGCCAAGAGTAAATCCACAGGTATTTGGGGTTTTAAACTTCAAGGGGTGGCAGATTGTTAAGTCGGACACACAGCAGAAAACTCTCGGAGGAATTCCAGCATGTAGTCGAGCCTGAGTTCTCAACCTGGGAATTGTTGGTGTCTTATCACTGGTGTATCTTTGCACAGCTTTGTTTTGTCATAGCTTGTAAGATATTGTGTTGCTGATAAAACACAGCAATGGCTTCTTTCATTGTCAGGAGTTTGCTAGAGAAATCTGATCCTCGTCCTCTCCACACCTCTTATCATAAGTAGCCTGCTAGCTCCTAGTCTTACTAAGCAGATGTACTGGGAATCACACTATCACTCCTCCATTCAAGTGTCTCCCTGCAAGTCAGGGAGACTAAATTTATCTCCTTAACTATTAAAGGTAACATATAACGGTAAAAAGATTACACTTTTCTTTCCTGTAGTCTTCATGTTATAACTAGTTGTGAGCATGCAATGAAGTGCTAGGTGGGGTACTCTTGTTTGTGTTTGTGCAGTTGAGCGATTAGCTTTTTTTTAAAAAAAAGATTTTTTTTCCTACATGCTGGACTCTGCTGTTTCTATCCCCCCCACTAACTATGCATAGCATCATCACTGTCATGCTACACGTTTGTATTGGTTGCATACCCCAAAAGCCAACCAACCAAGCTGCTTTTGAAGCCAGTTTCTGGAGACATTATAGCAACTGAACTGCAGTTTGTGGAACCTCTGCTTTGGCTTCATTTTTTTAATCATGGAAGCTGCCCCTTGCTTGGTTCTTCTCCTGCTGTATTACAGTTGAATTGGAAATCAAAAAATCAGTTGAGATGTTGCACACTGGTATCCTGAAATGTTGCACAAACACAGGAGACCTAAAACCTGTTCTTTTAAACTTCCATTTAAGAGAAAATCACATAATTTCTTTTTTTAAAGTTATATTTGACTAGTTAAAAGTGCAGTTGTAGCTATTGTTGAATGGCCTATTGTTAGTCCTCCCAGTCAACCAAGAAACTACTTTTTCATGTCACCATCCCAGACAAATAAGTCAGCTCAATGGATTGGTGGGATTCTAAGGCCTGAACTCACGAGACTTAAGACCTGCAGCCCTGAAACCAAGAAAGGTAAATACCAGTAAATCTTGCTTTCATTGCCTGGAGGCTTCTTGTCCATGTGTACATTCACAGTATCCAGTGGATGGCTTCTGTTTCTTTCTGTTTGTGTATTGAGTCTACAGCAAGCTCTCCTGGACGTATGTGCTCACATAATCAGGTGTAAATGTTTCATGTAAGGCAGTCACCTCATGGCTGTCAGGTCATCTGCAGATACACGATCCCTCAGCTTCTTATTTTTCTCTCTCTCCTTGTCACCTTAAGCTCCACAGGTTGGGGCTAATGTAATCACAGACCCCTGCAGAAGGGCCAGTGTAAGAGACAGAAGCTGGGCCAGACATACAGGTATTCTAAACTGGTTACATTAAACCAAACAGGCCATCTGTCTCCCCCAGTAATTGGACACTGGATTAGACAGAGATGGCTGTGTTTCCCAGCCAAGTGGGCTAGTTACTGTTTATTTGGAATTAATTACCAGGGAGAGTGGAAATCTCAGAGCTTCCTACGAGTGGACCTAGACACTTTCTGATGGGGATAAGGGAACGTAAAGTCCAATAATAAAACTATATCAACAAAAATGTTTGGCAAGTTGTTTGACGCTGCTCAAACAAAGTCTTATGCTTGAATCTCAGATAATGATGTGGCTGGGGATTTCGAGTAAGGTGGATCAGAACAAAAGTCCCTTCTTTGATATGGTCACCCTAAACTGAGGCAGCAAATGAATGCACTTCTTTAAAGCTGGTAACCAATATCCTGGTGTAACGCCATCAGCTGTTCTCACTCTGAGGGTGTTCCAAAAAAAAAAAAAAAAAGGAGTATACATCTCTTAAACCCTGTGAGAGAGGGGCATCCACCCTGGCACCATATTTCATCCTGAGTGTTTCCTTCTCACAGGAATCACTGCTGAGGTATTGCAATGCGTAACCCTAACATATAACTCCAACTCCATGCTGTTCCAGTGTGTGATTCTCTTCACAAGTATTGATAATAAGCTGGCAGAAAAAAACACATTCTGATGAACATTAATACATTAATTGCTTTTCCCCAGTAAAAGTTCCTTTTTGACTTTTCCCTAAAACACAGGGTTAGAGAAGAAACGATAAAGATAAAATATATAACATAATAAAATAAATATAATATATAAATAATAATAATATAATATAATAAATAAAAAGACTAAAGGCTTAGTTTGATGATGGCTATTAACATTTATACAAATAAATAATGTTGATTCCAATTCTCTGAGGCGACTGTTGTGATATGGCGCTATATAAATAAAACTGCATTACTTTATCTCCTGCCTAGCAGCTCCATGTTCAACATCCTTTGTCTTATATAGCCACCATCCTGCCGCTGCACATCTAAACTCAGCTCCACCTCTTTGTCTCCAAACCACTGAACCTGAGCAAAACCAAGTTAATGATGGAAATAACCTTGCCATGCAAGTTTAAGGTTGCACGCTCTAATATGTTTTGACAAGCATAGTAAAAATGAATGTGTTAACAGAGGATTCTGTTTAAAAGCTGCTCTTTTTATTCATTTATCTACTTAAAAAAAAAGTTGGTGAAGGGCCGTATCATGGCATTTTTTTCACTATGCTAAATTTCAGTTTGCATGCAGTGAAATCAATGTACAAGTGACAATGCAATAAATTAGCATATAATTTACATTTGAAAAATAATATTAGTAACAGTGTACCAACAATAATACTGAATACAAAATATATGCAGCTAATCACATGATGCTTTTCATTTTGCTTGCACTTCAGATACGTTTTGAAGCAATGTGACATTCAAACATCCAAGTTCACAGCAACGAGTACCAGTTTGATTAAGTTGTCTTTTCTTTTTCTAAATGGAGCTTCTTAATCCCACAGCCAGTAGATGAGTCAGTTCAAGCAGTTTGAATTCTGCTGTCTTTGAATGCAGCATCCACCATCCTTTCCAACAAAATCTGCTCAGCACTGTCATTCTGAAGGTGGCTACAAAACAAAACAAATAAAAAAAACGTAGCAGCAGCAAAATTAGAACGTCGGTTTTAACAGCTCTGACAAGATCCTTACACACTCACTTTAATTGCTGTTCCCCTTTCACACCCAAACGTCACCTGGGTGAAGTGATCGCTTTCGTCTGGGGTGTGACTGTTTTGTTGGCTGCACAAGCAACAATACACAGTTGACAATGAAAATTCCCAGTGTGAGGTATAGACAGATACAAACTAAACGATAACATGACCAGCATTAAATCAACAGAAATATTGACAAGTATATATATATTTTTTCATACTGTTTGGATCCAGCCTCACTTTTCTTTTCTTATTAGCACACTGGAACGGGTTTGAATGGAAGCACCCACTTGATAGCACCAGAAGCCTGGGAAGGCCGCAAGCCTCGAAGCATAGCAAGAGGAAAGAGAGGTAAACACAGTATTTCTTGTAAATTTAAAAAAAAAAAAATACAAGAGCAGGGCAAGCACCACTGAGTATGCTGTTTTTGTTTTGTTTTTTTATTTATTTATGGGACAAAGGTGATGATGATGAACATGATGGGGGTAGGAGGCAGAGTGTGGAGTCTGTGAGCAGCAGAGTGAAGCCAGCTGACATAGCCTGGCAACAAAAGTGGTGTTTGCATGTATATTTAACAGGAATATCTCAATATTTGTGAAACAGGCCTGTTCACTTCCTTGTGAATAATCCCACACGTTAGCTAAGTCTAAAAGGCTGGAAGGTTGGAGAGAAGCCTTCTTAAACACTCCAAATCTTTATTTTGTCCCATATCACATCCCCCCATTTTTTTTGGGGGGGGGGGGGGGGGGGGGGTTCATTAGAACAATTTTTAAAAGTGTGCTTTTCAGTTTCAGTTTCTGATGTACATGCCCAGCTCCAAAATGCCTAGTTGGTTTTGCCAGCAAGCATCTTTGATGAGAATGAATGGGTAGGCTACATTTTGTTCATTAGTCCCCCTTAAAGCGTCAGCTTCACAAGTCAGGCAGCCTGTGATTAACTTCCTATAAAGCCAGAAGTGTTCAACAATATTAACAACCAAATCTTCAAATTAAGTCTTTGCTTGCATTGGTGGCTTCAAGCAGATACAGTACAGCTTATTTAAAGATCACAGAGCTAAATTAAACAGACATACTAGCTGTTGCAAACTGTTGCTGAACTGGTCTTCATACGACATTTATATGGAGCTGGTTTTGTACTAAAGACAAAAGCAACATTATAAACACTTACTGATTTATGTCTTAATTTACATTTAAATGGTGAATTTTAATGATCCTTTTTATTTTTTTCATTAAATGTTAATTGTAAATTGGTGAGCTTTAGATGTGTTAATAGGTTGATTTATGTCACCCTAGCTAGTCAGCATTTTCCCTCCACTTTTCCTAAGGTCTTAGTCAAACAGCTGTGCACACTAGTGTGCAGACCAGTTAATGACCTCCTGCCAACCCCATGTGTATTTTACAACTGTTTGGCAACTGATTGCTGGAGGTTGCGAGCAGTCACTAGCATAAATTGGTCGCTGCGAGGGTGCTGGACAGAAAAATTCTCTGAAATTGCTTTGGACACTGGCAGATTTCCATTTTCAGCTGTTTTTTGCATGGAAGAAGCGGACTTACCAAGTAGAAGTGAAATGGTAAGTGTAACCTAAACATATGCTTTCAAAGTAAAAGTTACACATTCCAAAATATGTAGGTTGCAGCAGTAAGACACAACTTATTCTTTAAAAGCAAATGTAAACTAATTAAAATGTCATTAAAGCTCAAAAAATAAATGTCTGCAGACAAGTTGGCATCTTTCATGCAAACTACAGGTGACCTCGGCAATCTGCTAGCAGCTAAAGCAATCACAAGGACGTTTGCTGAGGATCACCATATTTGTGTTGCCAGTATTAAATTGTGACTGAGGCCTGAGCTAACCATCGTCTTGCCCAGACCTCATACATCAATCTTTTCATGTAATCATTGGTAAGAAGGCCATTTTGCAAACTGCGGGGCTATTAGTTTACCTCAAAAAGATCCTTAAAGAGAGTATGTAATGGTGACTGCACTTTGACTCAGATGAACAAAACATATAAATCCTTTAAAACTAAACTCAGTAAGATGCTAGTAAAGGTCTGGTCACTAATTTTTTAATGTGGCATAGGCACCATTTGAAAAGATGACTTTGGTGATTTTGGGTGAACTTTTACCTGACTGTTAAGAACTAAGGCACCCAGCTGGGGGAAAAAAAGATTTAAAAATCTCCAATAACCACGGTGTATTTTTTTCGGCCCTGGATTAACATATGTATATAATATACAAATCCTTACAGTATACAAGGGTTTAACATATGTTACAGTATGTAATATTTTCACTCAAGCACAAAGAAACTGAATATGAATTCAATCACATTACATTCCCTTCCATAACAATAGGCTACTATCTGGCGAAAAGATGATCAGAGGACAATATATCAGCTCTGTTTTGGATTGTACAATAAATATACAGTACACCAACAGGGATTCTCTGTTGCATTTGAGCAGTAAATTGGTATTTACATGAAAAAAGTGCACCGAAGCCAGAAGTCTGCTCTGCCAATAGCACCATCACAGTCATCCCAAAGACAGGAGTCTCCCATCCCCCCTCTTCTAATCTCCGGGGTACATCCTCTGCGAGCGATGTGTCCAGCACTTTGGATTCGTAAAAAAAACTAACACTGAGGAAGACTAACAATGATATTAATAATTATTATTATAATAAAAGATAACATCACCAACAGTTAATCTTCCGAGTTCCACTTCACAGAAGTGAAAATGTAAAAAACAAAAAAATAATGTTTGTGTCAGCATTATGGGCTGAGCAGTGGTTTAAATTCCACCACGACAGAGGGCAGGAGTATGGGGTATGATAAACAGGGAAATCCTCGCTTTTCTCCCGTCTTCAACATTGACAACTTTTTCATTCTTCCACTGGTTCAGAGTCGGGATGCATTTTCCAGTCTGCTGTTTTCTTCTCACCCTCTTAAGCACTGTATCCCTCCATCTTTCTTGCCTTTATGACCATCTTCTTGTCTCGCTCTTGTATTCAAAGGGTCAGTGTCCCTGACAAGTCTTGCAGCACATCTGTCTGAAGTACGCTCGACTGCAGAACTTGAACTTCAGTACCAGCGGGCAATAAGCCACTTTGTTTACATCTTTGCATTCTGTGGAGAGACAGAAAAGAACTCAGGTATAAAGACAGCAAAAGAAAACATATCTTTTATTAGTCTGGCTATGTTTAAGAGGAAAACTCCTCGTCGTAGGAGCTGACTAAAAAAAAAGACACACACACAAGAAAGTTTTTATACCTAACATAACACAATCATCTACATATTGTCACCTTTTAAGTAAAACCACACCTATTTCCCTAGACTATATATAAATATATCTATTACATATATCTATCTACATGGCACTGTATTAACGTATTAACTGGTTGTGCCACCCTTAGCAAAACCTTCATATCAGATTTTCTGTAACATTCAGATGTGAACTTGCTGGTGTGTTTTGGATTACTATCTTGCTTGATAACCCGATTACGCTTAAGTTTCAGGGTGTTTTCTGCAACTTTCTGCAACTTTTGTCTTGCCAGTCCACAGAATATTTTCCCAAAAGTCTTTAGAATCATCAAGATATTTTTGGCAAAGGTGAAACGAGCCTTTGTGTTCTTTTTGATCAGCGGTGGTTTTTGCCTTGAAATTCTCCAATGGATGCCATTTTTCTCTTTCTTATTGTTGAATCATGAAGACTGACCTAGACTGACACAAGTGAGGCCTGCAGTTAGATGTTGTTCTGGATTCTTCTGTGACCTCTTGGAGTTGCTGATGCACTATTAGAGTAATTTAGGTAAGCTGGCCTGCCCTCCAAGTTTTCTCTATTTGTGGATAATGGCTCTCAACATGGTTCACTGGAGTCCCAAAACCTAAGAAATGGCTTTGTAACCCTTTCCAAACTGATAAATGTCAATGGCATGTTTGTTTCTCAGCTGTTTCCTTAGATCATGACATGATGTGTTATTTCTAGAGATTTTTTAGAGATCTGCTTCACTTTGTCAGACAGGTTCTCTTTAAGTGATTTCTTGATTCAGCAGGTCTGGCAGTAATCAGGCCTGGCTGTGGCTAGTGAAATTGAACTCAGCTTTCCAAAAAATGTGGTTAATCACAGTTAATTCATGACTTAACAAGAGGGAGCCATTGCTTTTTCATATAGGGCCAGGTAGGCTATTTTCTCCTAATAGAGGAAACCATTATTTAAAAACTGCATTTTCACAAGTAATCTTTGATTAATATTAATATGTGTTTGCTGATCTAAAACATTTAAGTGTAACAAATATATATATATATATATATATATATATAAATAAATAAAAAACAACCTAGGAAATCAGGAAAGAAACAAATACTTTTTCACAGCACTGTGCATCTTTTATATACATCTTGTTCTCATGGAACAATATTATCAATCATTTGAAGTATTTCCGAATTGAAAATCCAGTGATAGCTGACATGCTGACTCCAAATGCATGCTAATTCAAATGATATCTCATCAACACTAATAATATACAGTAAATTTTCTTTGCAACATTATATTTAATAGAAATAACACATAGACATCTAGCTTTTGTTTTGCAGCAAAGGCAAACTTGATAAATAGGTTAAAATAGATGGTCAGAAGAGGTTGCGTATTTATTAAATACTTTCAGAATGAAGGCAAGTCATTAAACAGCAATGTAATGATAACATATGAGATATACAAACTGGACTAAACTGCTACATGAGAGCTTGTGGATCTCCCTCAGGTCTGAATAGAATAAAACTGCAACTATACTTGGATGCAGAGACTAAGGCAGATCCTGGCCTCGTTCACTAACTGGGCTGGCTGCCATCCCTACTATGCACACTCACAGACACACACATACACACACAGACTGCTTGCTGGATGCCAGACAGGCAGTGCTCTAAATGCCTTATCATGATCAGAGTGTCTTCCCTTATTAGGCTTTGGCCCCTGCCTTCTCAGAGCCAAATGAAACGAGACATTGCCTCACTGCTGTCCGTAAAGGAACAATTAGCCTACAGCTAATCCCATTAGCCAGCCTGTAAACGCTGCTCACGTTTTCCATTCAGGCTAATCGAAGGCCCCTTCTCTACATATCTGAATAGCCATCCATCATGGGTAAGTGTATATGGAGGGTTGAGCTGCTTCGCTTTGACTAGGAGCCAACCTCACTGGAAAGATTAATGTTGCTGGCAAAGTGTAGAAGAGTGTGTCATCCAACTGTGTTTAGGTCATAGTAGAACAGTGAAGATGAAGATAGAGATAGTTTATAACCTTTTCAAGTGGGGCTTTGTGTAAAAGCTGAGCACATACAGCACAATATCTATGAGCATAAAGCAATCAACCTTTGCTTATAAAGAAACTGCAGATCAGAAATTGTCTTCTCGACCGTGACGAAAATTGCGAGAAGTAAACTTTTCCCACAAGCAAGTTCTTAACTGAACTTGCTTGTGACACAATGGCATGTTTCATCATCTCACCATCACCACTGGAGATCGGGGTGGCATCGCACTTGCTCTCACACTGCTGCATGGTGGCTGGTCGGAGGGACTCTACGCAGTCATTCGATGGCTGTCCTGTGTAGGACAGACACTGTACCGTCCTCATCTGCTGGCCCAGACCACACTGTGCTGAACACTGAAACAAAGAGCACCAGACCAAAAGTCACTGTCTGCGCAACACCATATTTAGCCAGTAAATTTAACAAGTTAAATGAGGACCATCTTTTCTCTGTGACCCTGAATACTAGGCAGGGAGTCTGCGCTCCCTCATGGACCTCCACACGCATAGTAATCCCGGCACATGCACACATACACTGTACGACCTGATCCAATCAAACAATCACCGGGGCACAAAGGGAGGGAGCACACAGAGCCAACCAGAGTCACCTTCCTCAATCTTCTTGAGGAAGGTGGGATTCGATTTAAGTGATTTCTTCATTCAACAGGTCTGGCAGTGATCAGGCACGAGTTCGGCTGGTGAAACTGAGCCCAGCTTTCCAAAAAAAAAAAAAAAAAAAAAAGGGGGGGGGGGATCCAGTTACTTTTTCACGCAGAGCCAGGTAGGTTTGCATAGCTTTTCCCTTAATAAATAAAGTCACAATTTAGAAATTATTTTGTGTTTATTTGGGTTATCTTTGACTAATATAAAATTTGTTTGACGATTTAAAACATTCAAGTGTGACAAATATGCGATAAACAAAGAAATCAGGAAGAGGGCAAATACTTATTCACAGCACTGTATGATGATGATGATGATTGCAGCATCCTTTCCAGTAAAAAAATAAATAAAAATCCAGCCAAGTGAAGAACGCTCTTAAGAGGCAAGCATATAACTATCCAAGTCCTCCATGATCCATGAGGAAAACACTTAATGAGAGCAAATAAAAGCCATTGAAATACTGATGTTCCAAAACATATTGCATCAATGTTACACACTGACATGCATGACTTGTCTAATGGTGCTGGGAGACTAGTTCTCATTGAATGATTTTTTTTTTTTTTTTGGCAAACTTAAGATCAAATGACCCAAGAAAAAAGAGAAACTGCAGTAAAGGACTGGAAAGTAATCACAAAGGACGAATCCCATTTTTTAGTGATTTCTATTAGGTTCAGGCAGGAAGCCTGAAAGATTCTCCAAGAAGTATGAGTTTTTTATTTATGAATACGGTAAATTGTCCAAATTAAAAATGGCTGCAATTCAACAAAGATTAATGTGATATTAATGTCCCACCGCTCAAACTACAGCAGAAATTCTGCACTTTAAGGCTCTACTCATAATATAACTGTAAATTTGCTTTGTTGGTGCATAAAACGTTTGCTTTGGTAAACACAAAATGCGCTCCTGCCTCTTTATATGCTAGTTGTTATAAAAAGTGAGATTGGCCTTGTGGGCAGCCGCTAATCTCCTTTGTAGAAGGAAAAAAACAGACAGAAACAAACTAGTAAAACTAATAAAAAACAAAAGGTGTAGGTGCCAGCACACTTTCGACTCTATAATGGAATTGTTCATCTGAGCTGATGCTGGAAAGGCTGAGAAAAAACACACCTGTGAGCCATAACTATGTGTGTGTGCTCATATACGAGTGTGTGAAATAAACCCAGTCACCCCCCACCTCTTTCTGTCACCTTCACAGATTCTCTCTGGCTGCCTTAGATCAGTGAGCCTGCATGTCATCCCTTCCCAATTAGAGAGTCTTTATTAGGGCCCGCTGCAAGCTATGACAGATGGCGTACGTCAGTGGTGCAACTTTAGTGGGATTTGAACTGGAGACCTTTTGGCCTGGGAGACTGGGATCTTGGTAGCTGGCAACAATCCCCCCTTTCTGGCACTTTGAGGGTCAGCTGGCCAGAGAGGGACGAGAGTAGTGGAGGCTAAGCTTGTAATTACAGCCAGAAAAACAGAATAGGTGGGGGAGAGAGTACACACACACACACTTCTACAGTGTGTCAGAAAGCGCTGTGTAAGGGCAGACTCCAGCTGTTGGTCTATGAGGTATTAACCTTGGCTCAGCATGGCAAGAAGCCTGTCCTTTAATGAACTATGTTGAGGTTAACATTTTGGTCTGCTTTGTTTATGGCTCAGACTAAATTGTAAAGGTGTGTTATTGATATTTGTGTGTGGCGGGCATGTGGCAGATATGAAAAGAACCCAGAAAGCTATGACTTAAACTGCCAGACTCACAACCTTTGACTTCTGACCTGATCGGCACAGCTGAAACCATGACATCACCTTCATCAGAGCACACAATCCTTGCACAATTGCCTTCTAAACATCAGAGCACACTGTTTAAAATTCCACTTCTACACTGAGTTACTAACAAATCCTACAAAATAACAAGCCATACTTTTTGTAGATACAACTATCTCTGACGCACGACTTTTTGGCGTCCTCTCAGCAATACGAGTCAGCTGTGTTGTAAAGTGTTGAGCAGCTCTTTCAGAGCATACTAAGTCATATCAGGGTGAGCCCAAAACTTCTATTCCTTTGTCTTCCTCAAAACCCTGTTCCTGGAAGTGACAGAGAGGCCTGGTCTGGGGTGCAGATAAACTTCAAACAGCCAAGAAGATATTACTGCTGCCGATCACATACTCCAGGCCTGTTTTAACTCTTGGAATCACAAACACAAACACAGCCTCTATGCACTCACATGCGTCACAGGCCTGATTGGAATCCCCAGTATTTCATCCAGGTGTAAATGACACAAATCATTCACCTACACATGGAGTTTTATCTGTGGAAACTTTGTCTTTTAAACATGCCAGTAGGATTAACCGCCATACTGTTGTGGAAGAAGTTAGAGAGAGACAAGGTCCTACCTGTCCCCATTCACCAGGGATCCAGCGGGGAGGAGGACAGCGCCCTAAAGTGCAGCGCATTCGGACTTGAGGTTTGTTATGGATCGAGCAGCGGGCAGGTGGAAAGGTCTTGGTGAGGTCGCTGCTCTTACACAAGGCAATGCGGTGCTTAAAGCCAGGACCACATTTAGGTGTGCACTACAGAGGGAAGGAAAAGTGTTAAACACATATCTTGACAGTGCAATGAGTTACAGAAAAACAATTATTATTACTGGCCTTACCTCAGACCAATCCAGAGTGACCCACTTTGGAGGACAGGACTGGTTGTTGCAGGACTCTCTCTCAATAGGCCGATGAGTCAAACAGTGAGTGTCCTCCAGTGTCTCCTCCTCAGCGGGACCAATCTTCCTGATACAGAGGACTGTCCTCGTCCTTATCCCGCCATCGCACGTCTTCGGACACTCTGACCAGTCTCCAATAAACCATCTGGAGGATGGAGCAACCAATGCTAACAGTTTTGTTGTAAAGTGATTTCACGAGGTTATACTCACTATAAACACGCATTAAATAACTTTACTATAGTCACATTGCCAAAGCGGGAAAGAACCAAACTACTCCAAGGCATCAAACATTAATACTTTGCAGTATCAAGAGTATCAATATATATATATATATAGTAAAAAAGGTAAATATGGCAACTGAGTGGCCTAGCCTGGCTTTTTTAAATTAATGTACAGACAAGACAGTGGTATCACTGGACAAAAAGAAAGCGCATAAAGTATTATGGGTTTTTTTTTATAATACTATTAAATAACCGTTTTAATATTTTGAAAGCTGTCCATCCATCCATCCATTCGCTTCCGCTTATCCTTTTCAGGGTCACGGGGGGCGCTGGAGCCTATCCCAGCTGTCATAGGGCGAGAGGCGGGGTACACCCTGGACAGGTCGCCAGTCTGTCGCAGGGCCAACACACAGGGACAGACAACCATTCGCACTCATATTCACTCGCACATTCACACCTAATGGCAATTTGGATTTTCCAATTAACCTATCCCCACAAGCTGCATGTCTTTGGACGGTGGGAGGAAGCCGGAGTACCCGGAGAGAACCCACGCAAACACGGGGAGAACATGCAAACTCCACACAGAAAGACCCCGGCCTGATGTTGGAATTGAACTCAGGACTTTCTTGCTGTGCAGCAACAGTGCTAACCACCGTGCCACCGTGCTGCCCTTTTTTGAAAGCTGTCTTTTGTAATATTTGCTGTAATATCCATTCTCATCCACATAAAAGAAAATTATATACCACAAGAAATTACACACTTTTTAAAGAAGTTTAAACTTGCTGCCTGGCTGACAGGTAACTAATGCTGGGGAGTGCGTTTTAGTGCTATGCCATGTCAGGAGGATTAGCTTTAGAACCTGAGAAAATTAGACCCAGTCATATTCAACCCCCTCCAGACTTTAGAATTAATATCATAAAACTGCACAGACAACAGTCCTCCAAACACATCCAGCCTGTGAGATATTACATCATCTAAAGGAATGTATACAGAATTAACGACATGTTCAAACATCTGTGTTAGCTTTCATTACCGGCGCCCATAAAACCCTGGGCTATTCTAAAACAATTGTGTTTACATGGTCTCCTTTAGTCGGCCTTTCCTGACGCTGCAAAAGGAGTGTTTGCCTTCCTAACAAACACAAATGCCGCATGAGCGCTCTAACTCCACGCACACACACACACACACACAAGAACTGCCACGGCCTTCTAGTACTAATCAAAATAAATGCGATACCACAAGTCTGCGACCACTGAATACAGATGTGAAAATAAATTACCCAAGACTGCAGTCTGAACATATGAAAACAAATTACCGCTGATACAGTAGATTTACAATACTATCAGTTTTTTTGGCTGACACCCAGCTGAAAGACACTGGCGCTCCCTTTCATATACAAATAATTGTCAGCTAGTCTGAAACTAATTAACCTGGTGCATTTAATCCCTCTTTTTCCAGACATTATTGAAGTGAGTCTGGCCATTCTTCCAGCTACAGCGAAGGGATTTACAGACATTTGGCCACCAAACACAAGTTCATATTCCACCTGTATACGTGTGTGTTACCCCTCGAGGTTTGGTAAGGATGCCAAAACAATCAAACACAGGTGGTCATTTTCAGAGCTCTTATTTCTGGCATGAAGCAGATATTGAAAATAGTTAACATATGAAGTTATAAATCACGATCATTTTATTTTATTATTTTCTTCCAAACACATTTTACAACTAGGGCTCATTGAAGGTGAATTAATATCATGAGTCAGTCTCATTTTTATGGAGGCTTTTTCTTTTTAAAACATTAACTTAGGTTGCTATACTCTTATATTATTGTTTTTATATTAACAATGCATTAAATGTTAGTACGTAATGCAAAAGATCTTGCTCATACCAAAATGATGAACCTACAGAGAACTACCTTGTCAAAAAAAGCATTATAGCATCCATCCATCCAGGATGGAACGTATTGCAGCTGCCATAGGGCAAAAGCCGGGGTACGCCCTGGACAGGTGGCCAGTCTGTTGAAGCCTAACACAGAGAGACTGACAACCATTCAAACTCACATTCATATCACCAATTAACCTAACCCTGCTAAGTGCATGTCTCTGAACAAGCTGGAGTACCCAGAGAGAACCCACGGAGACCCATTCATTCTTCCTTCTGTGAGGCAACAGTGCCAACCGCCGTGCCACTACGATGCCCCTACATGTTTAAGCAAAATGTTTTGGGTTCATACCCTGTAGTGCTCCAGTTACCAACTAGTTGATCACATAACGAAGCATTTAGTGGGATGAGACCGAAAACAGAGCTAAAGGTAAGCAAATACATACTTAACGTTGCATGAACATCATCACAAATACAGCGATTAGCATCTATACATATTTTATGCACTCCATTTGCATTTGTTTCACATCATGACCAACATAAGTCGGCAGTACGCAACTTAACAATCAATAACATTTGTATCCTGGGCAGAATTTTCTTCAAGTCAGCACTAAACACAGAATGAAGAATTAGAATAAGCACCGGAGATGAGTTAACTTGAATGCTAATATGTGATCTAGCGTGGGAAAAGCCAAGGGCAGAGACCAAACTGAGCACAAAAACAGCCAAGCAATGACAATGACATAATGTTATTGCCAATATTTACAGTGTTTGCAGTCTTCCGATATTTCATCTTCTTTTGGCTATAGGCCACCATTGATCATCTGCCTCCATCTCACTTTTTCACTATCCTCACAATATTATCTTCTGTCCAACCAGGAAACTGCATATCCTCCTTCACTACATACATACACCATCATTGTCATCTTCCTGTTTTCCTCATGCCTGACAGCTCCATGGTCAACATCCTTTGCATTCTTAATTAACAAATTATGTAACTAATTTCAGTTATAACATTATAATTACAATTGTTATTTTTATGAATGAGTATTTATCTCTCTGCATTGTTATTAAAGCACAGTAATTCAAAGAACATATGCAATTTGACATCTTTCATTAAAGATTTTTAGAAAATAAGCAAATAGATTAATTAATTTGTTTTTGCATGCCAATTTAGTAGTTTAGGAAATATAAGAGTACAAAATTCACACTTTGGACTTTAGCCTAGTATTCACATCTTGCTTTACATGTCTTTGTTTACAAGTTGCATCGCATAGCTGTTCCACCCAGTTCAGGATCAATAATTACTTTTCTAAACTCTTCCTTATATATGAAATATTACAATTACTAGTTTTAATGGTTACTTTCTCTATATAAAAAAACATACTGCATCAAATATACCAAGCAGCCTAGTTGGAGTAGAGCACCTAATGCTGAAACAACACTGTAAATCAAAATATTTTCAATTTTTTTTTTCCTTTGGTTTCAAGTTTCTTTCAGGAAATTCTGTGAGGAACAACTTAGTGGAAGACTGATGGCTGGATCAGTGCAGCTGTGCAACTATCTGTTATGATGATAGGAGCTAAGCCTAAGGTCTAAGCTGTAGATTTACAATTTACCTTCTGACAGAATAAGACACAAGCAGGAGAAACCGAATTCTTCAAAAGCATTTAAAGGAGCCAGGTGAGGGAGTAAGGGCATCTGTGTCAGACACCTCTTGTTTCAGACTACTAACAACCTAAATATGCTGCAGGGGGTAGCGGGTGAGAAGGAAGTTTCTATAGTAATGCTGCTGCTGGCCTTATGACCCAAACCCTGATAAGCAGATAAAAACTGAAGGAATTTTATTAAGTGTAACAACTTTTCTCTGAATTTTTTATCACTGTACTGTGATTCTGAGATAAAATAAGCAATTTAGAGATGTTACCTTCTACTTGGGCCCTGTAACACTCACTCTGTTCATAATTTTTCTCTAATTTCAGTCATTTGACAGATTTTACAAAAGTAATCATCTCATAAAGAGAAGAATCATGAGTGAGTATTACGTACTCTGGAGGACACGGCTCAGTATTGCAGTCTCTCTGGTTTTCTGGAGGTTTGCTGTCTGGGTCACAGTAGTTGTTCTGTACCACTGAGTTGTCGTCCAGCCTTTTACAGGCTAACTCCTGCTTCTGAGAACCTGCAGGAGAAAACACTGATCAATAGTGCGGCATGGAGCTCAGCTGATCTGGCACATTAAAACGCCTTCGCAGACACAGAAGCCTGCCAGCCGTGGTGTCGTGCACCGTGTTAAGAGCGGAGATGGGATCATTTTCATTCTGTAGTAAATCCAGACATGTAAATTCGTGATTCTTTGCAGGATATGTTGGCAAATCACTTTTACAGAGCAGAGAGCTCTTTACCTTGGCTTCTGCCAGAAAGAGTGAGGGCTACCGTATCAGTGTCACACCTCCCACTGTGTGTGCGCGCATGCTGCATGTGTTTTGTGTGTGCGCGTGCATGCGTACCAACCAGGAAGGGGTCTGTTTGGACCCTCCTGGGACATATCCCACAGCAGACTTGTCTGGCAGATGTAATGAGATATGGATGCGTGTGTGTGTGTGTGTGTAGTATAGAAAATCCACACATCTGTGCTTGAAGTGAAATACAGTTTAGAGGAATAGTAGAAAAGTTTCACTTGAAAGGCTGTCAAAAGGTGGTTTTCACTGATTTTTTTTTCACTGTGGTGATATATTGAACAATACTTTATGATTAGCTGAGCTAGCACTATTGAATAGGTGTATGATTAAATAACATTTTAATGATTTAAAGCTCTGCACGGTCAGACACACACAGTAGACACAAATTAGATCATTTGGATCAACAATGCAAAGGCATGTTTATGATGCTGGAAAGCCATGGGTACTTCCCCATCTAAGGAATAGTTTTCTGGTCTGGACTTGGAAATCCTTCCTCAGAAGAACCCACATGCTTATTCAGTCATGCTTTTACAAAATATTACAAACCCTTCCAGGCCACGCTTGACAACTGGGAAGAAACACTATTTATTGTTATATGAAACCCATGGCTTTTGGACTAAAAGGTTTGGTTTAGTCATTCTTAAGGCCATAGTCAACATTTCACTGTGGTTTCTGATTCTGAATGTTTGTAGGACAGGCGACTGGGAAGAGCAGCTGCATCTCTACCTCATCACTGGTAAACCAGAAGCTATGCAGAGCAGCTCATTCACATAATTTGCGCTATATTCATTACTTTGGCTATATTATTTAAAATATACATACTGAATTTATTAGAGGGCTGAATCTCCAGGGTAATGATTCTGGCAAACCATTCTCAAATTATGATACTGGGTTTCTGCACAGCGTTCTTCAGCATTTGTGGAAATATTGGTTGGGGAAGATTTACAGAATAACACACAAGATATAAAGTTTTAAACATTTGAAAATGGTTAGAAATATTTAAAGAGAATGTAAACACCCACAGCATGTTATGGTATTTAACACCAAAATGCTTGGAGTGCTAAAAAGGCAACTGACCATCATAGCTCAGTAGAATGTCAGACATTTATCTTTTCTCCAGAATTTAATAACGCAGTCTCTTATATTACTTTACATGCTTTGTGCCAATCTAAGCTTAATAGCATTTTACAAAGTATAATAAATTAAAAGATGCATTTGGAACCATTACAGATGCAAAGATTTAACTATTTTCCACCTTGCTGTGAGCATTAAAAGAGAGGAGCTATGGTCTAATTTAATATAATAAAATGTACTTAAGCTAAGGAAAAACACAAGTAAATAAGCATTTAATAGGTTAAACGGAGCACCCCGGAGCTCTTTGACACTAGTTTTACATTTGACAGAGGCCAAGCAGAGAACATAAAAAGCACAGGGTAGTTGCAATGGTACTAGCACAGACAAAAAGTCTGTCATCAAAGATTACAGGGTGGACTTGCCTCCGGCACAGGTAGCTGAGCATTCAGACCAGGGCAGGTGGTGCCAGGAGAAGCCCACCTCATTATCACCACTCCCTGTGCGCTGGATGGGGACGTTGAACTTGTAGTGTATTCCAAGGTTCTGCTCTTGAAGGAGGACCTGAAGGGGCACCAGCCAAAAAAATAAATAAAATAATTTGTGGAACCAGCTATAAGTGTTACTCACTGGTATCATGTGCTAGCAAACATCAGTTCATATAGACAACAACAGATGATGAGCAGTGTAAACATTAAACTCAAGTCATGTTTCTATTCATCTGCATATTCTTTTTTAAATAACCAAGTATCAACAGATCAGGCATCGTATTAGTCTAAGTCAGCCACAGGGTGAAGCTCAGACAGAAATCCCAGAACAATAGCTCGCCACCTTCTGCACATCCTCCTGGCCAATCTGATCTGAAATGTCCTATTTAAGTTTGTTCAGCAAACATATAGTTGTTGTTGTTGCCTCTACAAGCCACACCTCCTCCTCACTTCCTCCATTTCATTGTCATCTCTGCCTTAATCAGGCGCATGACCATTATCACTGATGACTTCCCTGTTTTTATGTGGACTTGCTGATATTCTCTGGAAGGGTGTAGGAGATTACTGTATAGCCTTAAAGTGGACTTGAGAACGAACTCTCTTTTTTTTGATGTTCTATGAGGCTCATGGTGAAAAAACAGGTCATTGTAATGTTTGGTGTTCAAAAAGTGTTTTTGTCGAAGCATCTATTGTAACAGACTTTCAAAATGAAATAGTCATATAAATGTTGTAAGAACTAGATTTGGAACAAATGAAATGTTATATTACCATGACAACCAGATTTTCAGTGGTAGCACCCAACGCTTCTAAAGACTCTGGTTCATCAGAGGGTCTCTTGTAGTGGAAGGCTGTCCCTGCAATCTCAAACTTCCTGGGCCAGTCAATGGTCCACGCTCCATTGATGTAATAATCATCCCCTTCAGATTTCAAAGCTAGGAATTCAGATGACAAGAAAAGTTTTCAGAATGCTGAAATCAAAAACAGACAGCAACAGTAGCTGGAGACAATCATTTGTTTTGATGTCACTGCCATTGTTTGTCTTCTTCATCATCCTCTGCCGCACCCCAAAAAGTCACTGACAACTCGCTATTTGGACACACTCAGCAGAACCAGACTCATGCTGCCAAGAAAGACATTCACGTGCACCGACACGTATATGCATCTAATTTAGGAAGAGAAGAAAAGCACAGTTCAGGTGAAAGCTTGGACGGATCTCATGAATACCACTCTGTCTGGTTGTCAAAACAAAAGCTGGTCTCCAAGCACAACAGATCTGAAAATATCCACTTTCTCTGCATTGAAATGGGGCCAAATTGAGGAGAAACAATCCAACCGCTCACTCTTCTGACTCCTTGGCTCACGCTCTGCAGATCTCCCCCTCTGTAGCATTCACGCAGATTCGAAGAACAATAGTTTACTGCTCTTAATCATATCACAATCTCCTGCTCCAGAAATGCGCTTTCAACACATCTGGCACTGATTGTGGGCATTGTGACATTTGAACAGTGCAGTTTACGCAAGTCTTTATATTTATATTGTTTGACTAAAACTTAATAAAGATTTTTTTTTAAATGCTAAATTTGCTGACCCAAATAGCAAGGACTCAGACAATGCTACAAAAGAAAAATATTATCATTATCATTGAGGTCACAGATGAACTGCATAACAGAGTAAATAATAGATCAAGTCTAACACAACAGCCAAAACTGCACTCTTTAAACTTTGATATATAGACATCATATCCCCCATAACCCCAGTGGACCAGGCAGCTGTCACCATGGCCCTGTAAATCTGGTCTCTGGTTCAAAGTATAACTTAAGCCCTCCAACAACAGCATCCCCTATAAATTCAGCACACAGTCAGATGTCTTTCTCGTTTGAATCAAAAAGTGGCTTAATTGAACTGTTTTTTTCTTATTGTTCTGTATGGGGTGAGTGGTCTCAGACTGTTTTTGTCTTAACATTAGGCGACGGGACATTAAATGATGGGATTGTCCTTTTGTTCTTGACAAAGACGCAAGGAAATGAAGAACTGAACAGATAATAGGAAACAGGATGACATTGCAAAATGGCAAGTCATCACACTGCAGTGATTTATAAGGCTTAAAGTGATTGATTAAAGGTAAAACAAGATTAAGATTCTACGTCCATACTAGGGAGGCTGTGAAACTATACTGGTGACTCTATATGGTCAGATTAGATGACTCTGAAGAAAGCCATGAGTCAATAAAATTCTCCTACATACAACAAGTTTTCTTTAGAGCTTTAACCTCTTCAGATTTCTGCACTTCTGCACGCACCTTAGAAGCAGGTGGAGCTGTGCCAGAAACCTGTAGTCTGTTTACAAAATACAGACAGGTCACAGAGCTACCCACAGGTTTCCTAAAATTTTATGATCTTGCATTAATTTGAAGAAATTAAATTAGATCATTTGAAAAACCTTACTGATGCTCTGAAGGTATGCCATGAAATGATGTTGGCTCCATGAAGAGGTGATTTTCTCCATGAAAATGAACAATGATTTGAAACAGATTAAAAATCTTCTATCAGGCTAGAGGAGTCTTTAAGGACTCATTAGAAGAGCTGCTAGGTATTTTTCAAATTACCTCATAGGCTTGTTAAAACATGCCCGTTAATCAGCTTTTAGAGAAGCCAGGCGTTTTTTACTGTGACCCAAATGTTTGCACTGGTCAGCAACTTTTCAGAAGTTGTCTGTTAGAGAAATAAAATCTCATTTTTCTTACAATTTCTTAGTATATCCTGTCAGGCCAAGTCAAGATGTTTTAAGGTGGGATGTCAGTTTCATCAGCTATCCAGAATATTATGACGTATAGGTTTTCTCGTTTCAGCATTTGAGTACATATCTATCAATTGATGTGTCCAAAACCAAACATCTTTGATTATTTAACAATGTAGGCTACCAATAGAAGAATGGCAAAGGGTACACCTAGAAAAATGTGTGCCCCCTTCCTCATTTATTAGTTTGTTGCATATCTGTCACCGTTGAATGTTTCAGATCATCAAACAAATTTTAATATAACACATAGATAACCCAAGTACATACAAAATGCAATTATCAAATTATGATTTTATTTATTAAGGGGAAAAAGCTGCCCAAACCCACTGTATGAAAGACTAAATGTCCCCTAAACTCAATAACTGAATAACTGGTATGCCACACTTGGCAGCAAGAAATGAAATCAACCATTTGCCATTAGTAGCACTGAGTCTTTCACATTGCTGTGATAGCCTTCATTTTTTTCTGTTTTTAGCCCTTCAGAGGTAGACTTGCTGGTGTGTTTCAGATCATAGTCCTGTTGCATAACCCAAGTGTGTTTTAGCTTCAGGGCATAAACTGATAGCCGACATTCTCTTCCAGGATTTTCTGTGGAGAGTAGAATTCATTGTTCCATCAGTTCTATCAGAAAGTTTTCCAGGTTTTGAAGCAGCAAAGTGACCCCAGATCATCGCAATACCACCACTAACCTAGTAGCATATTGTGAAAAAAAGAGCCAACCAACGAGCTAACATCTTTTCAGTCTCCAGAGTTAGAACTGTTGCACTGAATATATTTCAGAAACATTATGGGTGTATACCAGCGGCAAGTGTGGTGATTTTGAATCAGTGCTAACATTAAAATGCTGATGCTAACATACATGCTGTGGTTTTTTTGGGTTTGTTTACATAACGGTATAAACAATGAAGGTGGTGGATTGGCCAGATGCTGGCAGTTGTGTAAAAATAACTCAGTTGCTTGGTGGTGGCTATGACGGAGCTTCCACAGATTCAGTAACATGAGCAAGTGGTGGAGGCCAGCAGGTGGATGAGGGAAAGGGGAGGCAGGAGGAGGAGAGACCTGAGGCGGCCGCCGGCCGAGTATAAGGGGTACTGAACTCCAGGTGAGAAGTTATGAATTGCAGTCTATCTGGATCAGATATAAACCAAGTTTAGATATAGTTTATTTTTGTTGTGCTGAATTTTTACAGTCAGTTACAATAACTCGTACTGTGTGCTAGCTAGAATGACGGAGTTTCTGGGCGGGTCTTTTATTTTATTCCTAAAGTTAGTTATTAGAGAACGGAATCGTCTCGTATTCAGAGAAAATATTGCGCGTTTCGTATTGAAGTGAAAAGGAACGCGATTTGTCCGATACTTCAGCTAGAATT